ACACCAAACGAAATCGCGGTTAATTTATAAGTGAACTGTCTCTCTCCCTCAGTATTTCATAAGTAAAATTCACATTCAACATTACTAGGACTAAGATTGTCCGCAATCAATGTGGTTTAATCTTTATTACTTATTTAGGTATGGTTGATATTTTGGTTTTCAATCCTCCATATGTTCCCTGTGCCGAAAGCGAACTGTTGACTGTCAGTAACAGGCTTTCATTTGCTTGGAATGGCGGGACAAATGGTACTGCGGTTATACAACGATTGACTGCTCACATTTTCAAGTATTATCTATGTTTTTCTAATTTTTCCTGTCGTGCATCGAAAAGTTTCTTTTTACATTGTTTGCCACGTTGCGACTGCAATAAAAACGAGTTGCTAAATGCGGCATAATCTGCTAGATTTATTAGGTTGCTGAATCCTTCAGTTCAGATTCCCGTTCCTGTTTCTTATGATTTCTTCATGTATTTATTACACCGTTAGATTTCAGGCATGCTGCGTCATCTCTTGCTCTTAGCTACGTACTCCTGGTATTGGAAGAGTTATGCGTAAATTGAAATGTGAATATAGCGGTGTATGGACATAGTTTACGTGTATGCGGTAGTATGTAGGGAGACTTGCTGCTATGGCATCCTTCATAATGAGCACGAGGTGGATCTAGCGAACAAAATTATGGGAGATGCATCTGGCAGTGTGCGTTCAAATGCGATGGAGCTGTGCTGAGTCGTGGCCTGTTTAAATGCCTCCTTCAGACAGCTAAGAACAGGGCGGCAGTACAATATTTCCTGAAATCAGGTCTCGTAGGAGTTATGCATTAACTGACATACTCTGGCGCACGAACATACTTCGATACTTATGCGATGGTGGAACAAGTTGTAGATGTTGACTTTAAAAAAAAGCCGGTCCTGGCTGATGCCATCAATGCAGAAGTCGATGTCGCATTTAGTTGCATAAATAAGTTAATCGAAAATGTGGCAGTTTTCTCAGTATGGGGCAGATTAGTACCATGACGGATGGTTGCAAATTTACGTTTTCTTTTTGTAATTAGCTTAATCCTGAAAGACGAACGCATACCTGAGATATTTCAATTACGCCATGATTTATAAACTGCTGCCTTTAATCAGTTTTCTTCTATGCTTATAACGTTTTTTATTGTTCTGACAAATTTGTTATTTCTGGATTTTTGATTCAACGTTGATTTTCAGCCTGCTGAGTCCCAACGGCGCATTCTATTTGGTTGCGATCAAGCAAAATGACATCCCAAAATTGTTAACGTTCGATAGCAGACTTCATGGCAGCGTAGTACTTCATCGCTGGTGTGGCATTGAACATTTGTTTGTGTTGAAGTTCACCCGGAAACATGAAGAAGTTTGTTGAGACGCATTCGTGTGTTTTTCGTGAAGGTGATATTCTGAATAAATTTCGTACACAGGGCGTTATTAGTTTTAATGATGCTATGTAAAGATAAACATTTCAATGGACAGTCGCTTTAGAGTGATACTCTAAAAATTATATATCTATTGGTTCATAATGTCAGCAATTTACTCAGATTGAAGTTTAGTAGAATGCTGGTCCAATGTGAAATTCATATGTCATAAAGTTCAATCCTGGAATAATAGTTCACTCTTGATCTGATCATTCCTTGTCTTTGTCACCGAAAATCACTTTCTGCGTTATCTCAATGACCGCGGTTGTCTATCATGTGCGATTTGTCGCCACAAGCTTTATATCACTTGTTTGGTTTTTCTGATTCGAAGTTCTCGGATTTGGCGCTTCCACACTTTTGGGTACCAATTCTTCACAGTTGCAGTCCATCTGCCACCTGTAAATCGTGCCATGTCACCTGACCATTGATATTTATTACATTTTCCTTTAATTTAAGACTGATTTATGCGCTGCCTTTCATGATTGTGTATCTCTTGTTTCTTCTCACCACAGATGGCCTTTAATCGTAATTTCACACATTTGTCTTTCCATAGCTCAGCGCTTCTTGCGTATTGCAGCAACGCCTGTAAGTCGATACGTAATTTGCACAGCCGGGCGATGGAATCGGTTTCCACCGCATGTTGTGCGCGATTCGTTTCTCGAATTTTCTTGATTCGCATTGGTTGACGATGTGGTCGGCTATTTGGTCTGTATAGCCGCAGTCACACGCTGGGGTTTTTATGTAGCGCTACTTGTGCCGATGATGCCCAGTCTTGACATGGGTTATGTAGATCCTGTTCAAGGTTGCCCACTGTTTACGGGTTAAGTGGAGCCGAGGCAGAATTCTTGTCCTATCATCGATTAGTTATTTATTTGGCACGTTGGATTTTGCCAGATTTTCCTCCACTCATCATTGGCGTCGTAAGATGATGTCGTTAAGTCATGGGCGGTCTGCCAGAATGGATTCCGTGATTTGAATCGTTCCGTGGCGTGGTTTTTGAGGCCTTAGTAAACAGGCAAGTTTGGTTCTTCCTCGATTTTGCACTTCTCTCTCAGACCGCTTTACGCCTTATGTCAGATGTTTGAGATTACCAGTAATCAGGAAAATTGGGTGTTATGGAAGGTTCCTGTTATGTAACAGGGGGTATTCCGCTGCAGGATATGCAGAAGCGAGGGCTTCTATTCGCAGAGTATTGACATCGGATCCCCAACCTGTTCCCACAAGTCTCTGCACGATATTGTTCCGAGCCTTGGTCTTGGCACAGGTCCTTTGGATGTTCTCGGAATGTGAGGCTGCGGTACA